AAGGAAGATTGGCCCTGGGCTAACACCCGTGCCCATCTTCCTCCACTTTATATGGGACGCTGCCACAGCATGGCCTGACAAGCGGTGCATCGGTGCACACCGGGGATCCGAACCCGGGCCGCCAGCAGTGGAGCGTGCGCACTTAACCACTCCACCATGGGGCCGGCCCCTATTTGCCTATTTTTCTGTTGGGTCCAATCTTTTACTTATTTTTGATAGGTTGCTAGTTATTGTAGATATTAGCCTCTTTTAGTTTACTCATTGCAAATGTCCTGTCACACCTGCTACCTTGTCCACGGTGTCCTTCACTGAACATAAATCTGTAATGTTAATATAATCACCATCAGCACTGCTTGTGCCTTATAATTTTTTGCTTTTAAGGTTATGTTTCATAAGCCCTTCCCCATGCAAAGATCAATAAGGTATTCTTCTACAGTCTTTGATTATTTTATAGTTTAGACCTACATTTTTCAGGTCTTTTACCCATCTGTAGTACACCTTTGTGAATGATGCCAGGTAATAATCCAGTTTTATTTTCTCCATAAAGTAAGCCATCCAGCGACGTGCTGGAGCCGGCATGTGCCAGGCGGCAAGAGAAGATTGTTAAATATTGAGGAATTTTGCAAGCTGGTTGTTAAATTATTGGTAGTTTGAAATAGGCTGTGGTGGAAGTATTTATACCATGGAAATCAGCAAATCCCTTTCTGCTGAGAGAGAATTGGTTTACCAGTACACCACTGCAGTGATCTACTTAATCATCCTTTCTCCGTTGATCTGTAATGCTACCTTAACATAGATTAAGTTCCCAAATATGTAGGGATCTGTCTCTGAGCCCTCTATGACATTTCATTGGCCTGTTTTTCTGTTCTCAACCAGTGCTATACTGTTTTTACTACGGTGTCTTTGAAGCATATCTTAATAGCTTGTAGGGCAAGATCCCACCCTGTGCTCCTCTATTTCAAAGTTGACTTAACTCTTCATAGACCATTAAATATGAGAATATTATGCCATGTACATTTTAGAATAAGTTTATCAAGTGTCTTAAAAATATATATCTGATTTGAAATTACAGAAATATGTTTGAAAAATTAATATTCTCAAAAAATTGGTCATTCTGTCTAAGAGCATGATTAACTTTCCATTTATTCAGATTCTATTGTACAAAGTTTAATTAAATTTTAACATTTCTCTGAGCAACTTTTAATCATGATTTGTTAATTCCTGATGCTTTACAAATATTGTGAGAATTGTGAATGGCATCTCATTTTTCAAAAAATATTTTTCTAGTTGATTGTTAATTAGCTTGAAAATTGCTATCCATTTTTGAAATTTGACCTTGCTGAACTCTCTTATTATTTCTGTTGGGTTTTACTAAATTTTTTATGATCATAGTATCTGAAAACTATGATAGGTTTATCTCTTCCCTTTCAATCATCATACTGCTTTTTTCTTTCTTTCTCTCTCTTTCCTTCCTTCCTTCCTTCCTTCCTCATTCCTTCCTCTCTCCCTCCCTCCTTTCTCTCCTTTCTTCCTTCTTCTTTCCTTCTTTCTCTCTCTCTCTCTTTCTTTTTCGTTCTTTCTCTCTTTCATTCTTTTTCTTTCTTTCTTTCTTGATAATCATGGCCAGCACCTATAGTACCAGGTTAAGCTGTAGCAATTATAATAAGCAGTCAACTGAACTTGACCCAGACATTAGAAAAATCAGAGAGATGTTAAATATGTTAATATTTAAATAAAGAAATATTTAATTACATAAATAATTAAATAAAGATGTTAAATGTGTTGAAGAATCTAGTACAACAGGTGGACAACATGCGTGAACAGATGGGGAATTTTGGCAGAGAGATATAAACTATAAAAAGAGTCAAATGGAAATGCTAGTAATAAAAACATGATATCAGAGATGAAGAACTCTTTCAACAGGCTTATCAGCAAACGGGACACACAAGAATAAAAAAAAAATCAGTGAAAATAGGTAGGTAAATAGAAATTAAATAAAGTGAAACACAAAGAATAGAGAGAAAAAAACAATAGAGCAAAACATATGAGAGTTGTAGGACAATATCAAATACAAATAATTGGAGTAGACAGAGAGAGAGAGATTGAGTAGAGGAAATATTTGAAGAGACGATGGCTGAGAATTTTTTTTAATTGATGAGAATCAATAAACTACAGATTCAATAAGCTCAGGGAAACTGAAGCAGGATAAACAAAAAGAAAAACGTTCCTAGGTACATGATAATAAAACTGAAGAAAACCAAAGATAAAAGAGAAAATTTGGAAGGCAGCCAGAGAATAAAGAAAACTTACACAAAGGAAAAAAGATAAGGATTACAGCCAACTTCTCATCAGAAACTAATCAAGCCTAAAGAAATTTGAGAGACATCTTTAAAATATTGAAAGAATAGTCAATCAACCCAGCATTCTATATACAGTGAAAATACATTACAGAAATGAAGGCAGAACAAAGACTTTTTAGACAAACAAAAGCTGAAAGAGTTCACTGCCAACAAATATTGAAGAAAGTTTTCCAGGAAGAAAGAGTAGGATAGCAGATGGAAATTTGGATGTATACAAAGAAAAGAAGGGTGATGAAAATAATAAAAATGATGTTAAATATAATAGACATATTTATTACTTTCAATATCTTTAAAAGATAATTGAATATCTAAAGGAAAAATATTAACAATGTGAGACTTATAACATATGTAGAAATAAACTGAATGACAGCAATAGTGTTACACACACACACACATATGCACACATATGTTTGCAATAACAGAAGACTTAAGTAAGATCCAGAATCTTATAACATAATACCCAAAATGTCCAGGATATAATTGAAAATCATTCATCATACCATGAACCAGGAAAATCTCAACTTGAATGAGAAAAGACAATTAACAGAGGCCAACATTGAGGTGACACAGATGTTGAGATTATCTAACAAGGATTTTACAGCAGCCATCATAAAAATGCTTCAACAGACAATTATGAATATGTTTGAAACAAACAAAAACTACAAGGTTTCAGCAAAGAAATAGAATAAAAACAAAGAAATAATAAACAAATGGAAATTTTAGAACTTAAATATATAACTGAACTGAAATTAAAAACTCTATGGATGGGTTCAGCAGAAGAATAGAGGGGACAAAAAGAAAAGAAATCAGTCAACTTGAAGATAGTTCTAACAATGGAGAGAAAACTTTTGTTTTGAAAAAACAAAAGGAACAGAGCCTCAGGGATTTGTGGTACTGCAACAAAAAAAACTAATACTTGTGTCATGAAGTCTCAGAAGAGAAGAAAGAATGGGGCTGAAAAAGCATTCAAAGATGTAACGACTAAAATTTCCCAAATTTAGCAAAAGACATAAACCTAAAGATTCAAGAAGCTGAATGAACTCCAAGCAATAAAACCCCAAAGAAATTCATGTGAAGATGCAACATAATCAAACTTCTGAAAACTAAAAACAAAGAAAATATCTTGAAAGCAGCAAGAGAGAAATAACACCTTACCCATAAAGGGAAACGATTTGAATGACAATGGACTTCTCATTAGAAACCACGGAAGCCAGAAAGAAGTTTCATTAGATTTTTCAAGTGCTAAAAGAAAAGAATTGTCAACCCAGAATCCTATATCCAGCAAAAATGTCCTTCAGGAATGAAGAGGAAACCAACACATTCTCAGATGAAAGAAAACTGAGAGAATTTGTCACTAGCAGACCTAGCCTAAAGTAATGGCTAATGGAAGTTCTTGAAACTAAAAGGAAATGATAAAAGAAAGAACGTTGGGCACATTACGAAGGATAAAGAACATAGAAAAGCAAAATTATGGGTAAATAGCCTTTCCTTCTCCTCTTAAGGATTCTAAATTATGTTTGATTTTGAAGCAGAAATTTTAACATTTTCTGACCTGGTTCTCAATTTATGTAGAGGAAATATTTAAGTCAACTCTATTACAAATGGTGGAGAGTAAAAGAACTTAAAGGGAGTACTGTTTCTAAACTTCACTCACATTGCTAAAATGTCAACATCAATAGACTGTGGTAAGTTATACATGTATAATATAATAATTAGAGGAACCACTAAAAATCTATACCAAGAGATATACCAAAAAACTATAGAGAAATCAAAATGGCATTCTAAAAAAGTTCAAGTAACACACAGGTAGACAAGAAAAAGAAAAAAGAGAATCAAAAAACAGAGGAAAGAACGAGAAAACAAAAAATAAAATGGCAGACATAAACCTTAACATATCAATAATTTCATTAAGTGTAAATGGTTTAAATATAACAATTAAAAGACAGAGATTGGCAGAGTGGATTAAAAAAAAACAAGAAACATGTCCCAACTATATGCTCTCTCCAAATATAACAATATAGGCAGGTTGAAAATAAAAGTAAGGAAAGAAATATGCCATGTAAAGTTTAATCAAAATAAAGCAGGAGTTCTTCTTATAAATCAGATATAATATACTTCAGAGAAAAGAAAATTACAAGGTACAGAGAAGACGATGAAAAGGTCAATCTACCAAGAAGACAGCAATTCTAAATGCTCATGCACCAAATAACAGAGCCACAAAATATATAAAGCAAAAACTGATAGAACTGAAAGGAGAAATGGTCAAATCCATAATTATATCTGGAAGTTTCAACAGCTCTCTTTCAACAACTGTTAGAACAACTAGACAGAAAATCAGAAAAGATATAGAACAACTCAGGAATATCATTAATCAACAGGTTATAAGGAACCTTTATAGAACACTTCACCCAACAACAGCAGAAAACATATTCTTTTCAAGTGCTCACAAAACACTTACCAAGCTAGACCAAATCCTGGGCCATAAAACAAACCTTAATAAATACTAAAGAACTAAAATCATACAGAGTGGGTTCTCTGACCACAATGAGATTAAGTTAGAAATCAATAATAGAAAAATAACAGGAAAATCTTCAAACACTTGGAAATGAAACAACACAGTTCTAAATAATCCATGGGTCAAAGAGGAAGTCTCAAGGAAATTTTTTTCCTTCCTTTTTTTTTTTAAATTTCAGGTGTACATTATTATATTTCACCTTCTGTATAGACTGCATTGTGTTCACCACCAAAAGCCTGGTTTCCATCCATCACCATACACATGTGCCCCTTTACCCTTTCATCCTCCCTCCTCCCTCTTCCCCTCTGGTAACCACCAATCTGTTCTTCAAGGAAATATTTTTAAAAAATACATTGAACCGAATGAAAATGAAAATTGAACTGCATGAAAATGAAAATACAACATACCAAAATGCATGAGACACAGCTTAAGCAGTGCCAAGAGGACAATTTTTAGTACTTAATGTTTACATTAGAAAACAGCAATTCACCAACTCTCTTGGAAAATTTTCTGAAAATGAGCACAAGTTGGTATTTCGAGCTTGTGCATTTCTCATTCTTTTAAGCCCCACATATCCAAGAGATATTATTCTATCAAATGATCCTGCTCAATCATTTCTTAGGAAGTTTTTTCTCCTAGGGTTTATCATAGCTGAACAGGCAATGGGTTGGTTTTACCAGAATGTTCTGGATCATAGGCAAACAAAGATGGAAAGATTGACTATGATTTGGTTTCTACTTGATTATTTGCTTAGACATTTAATGAGTTATTAGCTCAGAGTGTCATGTCCACTCCCGAACCTTACCAGTGATAACAATGTGAAAGTGATTAACTCAAGAAGATCTAACTCATCACAGTAACAGGATGAGCATGAATTAAGAGTGAGACATCTTTATCATAATGTCTCTATCCTCTGCCTGAGTAGGGACAATTTCAAAGATATTCACAGTCTCATAGGCCAGAGATTCTTGTGTGATTGTGTATTTGCTTTTATTTCCCAGCTAAACTTAGAAGGAAGGTATGAGAAGTCTCATTTGAGATGGTGGTCCCAACATATTTTTAGTCCAGCTGAGAGAGTAATCATCTCTGACTTTTGGGTCTATTTTGCAAATTGGTTCAGAACCTTGTGTTTACCAAGAGCCTATTATTTTTCAGGAATGCTGTCTAAAATATAGCAGTCTCTCAACAATGACAGCTGTCATTACATTACATTAATGTCAATATGGTTAATGCTGTTATTAAAGATGACCAGCATGTGGAAAAACCTGCTAGACATGTAGCTAGAACAACTGGATGAGGAAAATAAGGTAGGGAGGGAGAAACTTGTCCAAGATCACACATGAGTTAGGGTCTCAGGACAATGATGATAAAAATATGTCTAGAATACTTGCTTCAAGGATGAAGTGAAAATATGCACAGGGATGCACTTTTAATGAAGTTACAGCTTTAAACAAATGTAATGAATAAAAGTTAGACTGTGTCTCAAAAATCACAGTAAATGGAAAACATACACACAATTGCAGAAATAAGTACAAATATATACATTAATCACATTAACTATAAACTAATTTAACTCACATGTTAAAAGAGTTTGAATTTTAAACTTCAGCTACATGCTGATTTATGTGAGCGGAAATAAACAGATTTTGAAAATATGATGGTGAGTTTAAATGATCAAGTTGTTTTCTAGGATGATACCATTTATATATAATTCTAAACACAGAGAACAGTACTATATATTGTTGATGAATACATGTGTGATTAAAACATGAAAAATATAAACTAGAGGGAAACTCACCAAATTTGTGACAGTGGTCCTCTCAAGAGGAGGAGAGTGAGTTTGTACTTGGGTGTCAAAGTTGGATGCAACTATCATCTTCTACATGTTTCATTTTGATGAAATCCAGAACAAAAAATGATTAAATGTTAACTTTTTTGTCTTTCATACTTTTCATATCTTTCATATTTTATTATCTTATATATAAATATATTTTATATATTTTTGGGTGCTTGCATATGTTTCTGCTTTAAAAACTAAACAAGGAAGGAAGAAGACCTTTAGAATAAAAGCAGCCGGACTGGGGGTGCGAGGTCAGTGGGAAGGCGATTCCAGTAACAGTGAGTGTTGGCAGGACAGTCTTTTACATTCTCACCCAAAAATGGACAGCAATTTGCCCTTCTATTGCTCTGGACATTAATAAAACTGTGTACAGGGTACAAAAGAATATTGTGCTCACGAGGAATAAGATGTATGCAAGAAAAACATGGAGTCAAGATCTTGTCTAGTTGAAAATTTCATCCCAAGACATAGCACACTGCAGTAGAGGAGTGAGATTCAGAGGAGAGGTACTTGCCACCACGGGACCTTGGGAAACTCAAGAACCTGTCCGAGGCTGTTCAGCCATCTGAAAAACAGTTTTACAGATGGTTTGTAAGGTTACATGAGGACCAGGTGACATATTTGCAGAGCCTTCCACATCCCATGAACTGATTTACGTGTAGGTTCCTTTGACCATGATGACTGAGAGTCAAGAACACACAGTGAAGAAACAGTCTAGTCTCTGACTTCATTTTCATCTGATAATTTGAGGTTACGGCCTTGAAGAAAGTTATAAAGCACAGGAAAACTGGTATTTGTTTGGTTGATACAGAGTACTAACATTAACAAGGGAATAGTTTTTAATTCAATTATTGGGCAAGCCACCAGTATTTCTGTGTTCCCAGAAAATGGAGTTAGAAAATTATATGTAAATAACAACTCACTGAAAACTGCTTCTTGTATCTGAGCCAACTTTTCCTGGTTGAATGATTTTTTAGAATCACATTAAAACCTATTCATTATTTTGATATTGAAGGCCAACTTGTCACAGACTCATCCACCCGGGGCGTCCTCACCACCCGTTGTGAAAGCCGGGAGCAGTTGGAGCTCTGAGAAGCACTGAGAGTCGACGTAATTGTCTCTGGCAAAGCACGAACGTGGACATCTGTCTCCTCAGGCAAGACAGGATAATGAGGAATGCCAAGTGAAGATGCAGCCCTGGGATGGGAGGGCAATTGAATGGCCAGCTTCTGCTCTGTGCTTCTTCAGACACACAGACACACACACTCACACACACAGACACACACATCAGAATGTTTGAGTGTACAGCAGAATTATCCAAATTGTCTTGTGTGTCTCTGCTTGCACATTTGTTCTCATAATTTGGTTAAATAAAATCAACTTCTATGATCCTAGGCTCTTAATAAATGAAACCTGTTCATTTTCACTAACTGATTTAAATGTCACAAAGCTTGTTATTTTACATGAGAAAGTCAAGCTCATAAAATATTTTCAGAAATATTTTCCTGTAATCCTCTGAAACAAGGACCAGAGTTTCTTCCCCCTCTGTCCAAGGCACAGTGAGTAAACACGTGGTGTCAGAAGACAGGAGAGGGCCTCCTCCTGCCCCAGGGCCTGGTCACAGTGAGAAGTCAATGCCTGTTTCTCTACTTGGGCTACTGCTGCTAACAAGGAGCACGTGACGCAGGAATCACCCAAAGCCACACCCAATCCAAAAACAATTTGTATTTAGGTTTGGAATATATTAAAGGACACCCATTCCATTTCTTAGTGGCATGTTCTGCATATCTATGAAAATAGGAAATACCGTTGAATTTTGGACTTCATCTACATAAGAATGAGCAGGAAACGAAAATCTTGAGATCTGGAAACCTCTAAGTTTTCTGGGCTTCAGCTGGCTTAATTTCTCTTTCTCTTCTTTCCTTCTTCTACTAATCTAGTGAATCAGTTTTAGGAAGAAATGTGCCTCAGAGTCAACCTCTCTGCCCTCTGCCTGCTCCCAGGTTGGGGGTGACAGCAGTTTCCATCTCCCCTCTCTCCAGTCTCCACTCAGGAAGCACTATCTTTCAGAGCGGGTTGGGGAGTGGAGCTGGCGCCTGGGAGGACAGCTGAGACATCCGAAATTGGACCACAATACTGCGGACGACTGTAGATCACACAGTCTGGGACTCTCCAGGATTCTCTTCAACTAATGCTATTTTCAGTGACTGACTTTTATTTTGTTCTGCTTGTTAATGTAAACGTATATTTTATGTCTGGGACACAGCGTTGCACACGGCACTAGCAGTGAGGCAATTGAGATACTGATTTTCCCTTCAGCAGCTTACCGTTGTTGCCCACAACCAGCAGAACAAGGTCCAAAGTCCTTGCCCTGACATTCAAGGCTCTGCATAGTCTAACTGTCCTCTACAACCCTAGCTGTCTAGTCCCTTCTGCCACCTCCTGGGACCTGTGGTCCTGTCATACAGACATGATCTATTTCCAAACAAGCCATGGACCAGCAAAGCCCTGTGTCTTTGCTTGGCCATTCCTTCAGCTGAGAACGCCATTCTCTCCCGCTGCCGGTAGGTCTCATGCTCACTCATGACCCACTCTACTAAGTACTCCAGTCTTGGTAACGACACAAGGCAGGCATGTGCTCCTAATGTCAAGCTCAGAGACGATTAGGGTGTGACTCCAAAACACCGTAGTTCCCCTTAGCAGTACTTTATCCATCATCCATTAATGAGTTACCAGGTGGAAATGATGAAAACAAGGAAATAAAAATGCATCTTGAACATAAAAAGAAATGCTCAATCTCACTCACAGACAAATGACAAATAAAACCCCACTGAGATACAATTTCTAACCTAGCAGTTTGACAAAAATTTTTTTAAAAGTTTGATAAAGCAACAATGTTAAGGCTGTAGGGGAAAGGGTATTTTCATATAGAATTGGCAGATTGGTAAACAAGTAATACGACTGGGGATGGCTATTTGGGAATATCTAA